AAGTATAGCCTGGCTACGGATAGCACCGTGGAACACTGTGATCTTCCACAAACAAGGGCGGCAGTATCTATACCGTAACCTGCGCAGTTGAAGAAGGTCAGCCCCAAAGCGGAACCACCTTATCAGAACCTTACGCAGAAGCCTTTCCCAACAAAGACGTAGCCTTCTTTCTGGCTACGAGTCTAGGCCACAGGCAGGGGCAACAGGATGAGCAAAACTCCTCCTTCAGATCACATTACACCCAACGAAGTGTCTGATAACTAGATGGGAGTTCCTCAGATTCGATTGTTTGCATACACAGGTGAGGAGTTCGGAACATGGAGTGTCACATGGAACAGGCCAACGGTGACAGGCAGAGAAGATGAAAGGATGTCGAGCCTGGCTTTGGCTGTTTTCTAAATCAGTGTATGTTATGCATGAGGCAGGGCCTGGGGCACCCGTGTTGCAATTTCAAGCACGACCTCAAGGTAGGTGTGCGGATTGTTTCCAGATGGAGGGGCACTATGGCGTCGAGAGGCTTTGCCTATCCTACGCAGGTGACCACGTAGCTTGAGGCTGTTAACCAGTCCAGTACAACAGATGCACTTAAGACAAGGAAAGACGCATAACATGGAGTCCTTTTTCCTGAGCCAAAGTGATGTCCAAGTGACTGCGTCAGAGCTTCAAACAACTGCATTGTCATCATCAACATAACTGGCCGTTTGAGTCGAGTCGAGTTCTGTTAACTGAATCTGCGTTACTAGGCTCTTCCACCTGACCTGCTACGTCTCTTCGTGCCTTTCCTAGAACAAATGCTACCCTGCCAGAATCGCGCATGCACTGCTCCCAAATATATGGATCTTCAAGTTTGTCAGTTACAACAAGGAAGAGCTTTGGCTTGTGCAAGATGACCTTGAAGGGCACAACATTTCAAGAGGAACCTGCCGTCTATACTGGGGCGTAGGCGAAATCGACCTGTCGCTTCGCTCTTCTTGTTCGAGGTCTACGCCGCTCATGTAGTTTTCCAGCTGGCAGCAGGGAATCACGTGGCAGCGTGCAGGTGCAATGGATCCGCACTCTAGAACAACATGTCGCTGCAGCCCGTAACTACCGGAACACCCGCGGGCAGTATCAGGTGAAGCTAGCACAAGCCTGCTCTTCACGACGGCGGATGAGCTCCTGGGCCCGTCCCGTGCCAGAGGGTTTCTTAAAGTGGGGGGGCCTGTTGCCGACATGCAGACAAACGCGTACTCTGCCACGGCCAGCAGGACAGTCGGTGAATGCCGCACACAAACACGAAATACACTCTGCAACGCATGCACAGTCGGCATAACAACGACACAGTCTTATTGTACAGGGAGCACAGCCTAAACACTTACAATTCACATCGGCGCCCTACCATACAACCGCGACTTCTACAATGCTACCACATCCCAGAACATCGCATGCTTTCTGTCAAGACTGCGTGGTTCGATTTATGTTATTCACGCTCTCACTGCTTGCATGTAGTTACTACTAGGCGCCTTGCCAGGCCTCGATGCATGCCTTAACAAATTTCAGCTCCGCCTTGTGTTGGAGTGTCCGAACCCCTCGCACCGGAAGCAACTCCACCGTGCCGAAGAGGCGCAGCTGCGACATCCTCTGGAGCCATGTACCCCTTCATCGATTTCTCCTGCACTGCGGGCTCGACGCATTTCGGCCCTTCAGTCTTGCTGGACAGCATGTTCGGAGACATCGGTACATCGCTGTCTTATCTGAGCTGTGCATCTAGACGAATTTTGTTCTGAGCGTTTGGACATGGCTACAAGTAGCAAAGTTTTCGGGGAACAAGGCGAGATCAGAAGAAGTGGCCTTCTGCGCCGCTTGCTGTGAGCGAAAAGCCCCCGAGAGAACGTCAGCTCCGTGAGCTGCTAACCGGGTGTGTGACATGGTCGTGAAAACGTTTTACTGATACTCGCCTTCTCCGACACTTCCACGCTAGCGATCTCATTGTAAGCCTTCCAGCAACGCGGCAGTGGATGCATGTGGTCTCTGCAAATGATATCCAAGTGATCAAGATTGTGCTCGCAGTAGTAGAGGCTTCAAGAATCTGAGGTGCTTGTCGGCCTCTTGTTTCCTGTCAGTGTGGCTTCATGTTATTGGAGACTCCAGTAGTTCGCCTTCAATTCGCCTGCGACTTATCTTCTAGCACACCACTGCATGTTGCCCCTCGCCTGGGTCTTCTGCTCCTTCTGAGCTCTTCGAAGAACGAGCTCGTTGCGTTCTGGGAGCCGAGCACCTGCCCGCCCCCCTCACAGGTGTGGAGACAAAGCAGGCCAGGTGCCCTTACTTGCGTGGGCTGGCCTGTAAAATCGCTGCCAGGTGAAAATTGCCAGCCGGCCTGTAGCGGCTTTAGCGGACTGCAGGGCAGGCGGTGTTAGAGCTTGTGTCATGGCAGTAAATGCGAAGAGTCCGGCGACCATGCAAACCGTGCATGGAGATGTTCTCAGGAAGAGCTTAGGGTATCGGCACCGGAAAGTCGCCAGCACGACAGCTTCGCAGCCGCCATTGCCGAGGACTCGCCGGGGCCAGGCGACCAAGTTCGACAGCGTTGGCATGCAGCACTGGCCAGAGCAAATTAACCAAAATGCCAAAACCCGAAGACTCCGATCCTGTCGATTTCCAAGAGCCACGCAACGACAAGTGCCAGCAGCGGAAGGCGCCGCCTGGCGGGATCTTCGGAGGGTGAGGGCTCAACCTGATTTCGTGGAACTGGACCATGAGCTATTTCGCAATCTGTAACCCATAGCATGAGTGCGGCTTTCATCGCTGTTCTGACTGAATTCGACTCCTTCCCAGCCCCTCGGACGACGACATATTGGGCGAATCTGCGCGTGCCATGAGGTGACAGTGACTGACTCGACCGAGAGGGAATGGACACCATCGTCAGGAGAGGCGCGGCGGTCACTCGGCAAACTCTGCACTCCGACGAATGATCAGTAAATACTGCAGCCCTCATTTCGCTCTATCACGGATGTCGGCCTTGACGGCGTCATGGCTCTCGGCGCTCGCCACCAAAAGCCAAAGCAGCGGAGAGATGTACACTAGAAAAAAATGCCCAAGACGCGAGGCCTTTGCAAGCCAAACCCGCAACAAACCCGCAGTGACCCAGGAAGTATAACGAAAGGAGTACTCGTAGCAGAAGCAGCAACGGCACTTCCGATTCAAAAGTACCCGGACCCTGAGAGTGATTGTGCAGCAAGCAAAGTGTTCCCGTCGTTCCGGGCGCAGCCGCAGTCTGGATTCCTCCCCGAGATCCCGAGATCACTTCTTGCAGATGGTGTCGGAGAGGCAATTCGGACCGGCGGCACCGCATTGAAGGTATTCTGTCCTCGCGGAGACCATAAGGAGATGATCAGGACGAAGTTTAGCAAAGGCAAAACGAAAAACGACAGTAGAGATGCGATGTTGAACCAATCCGCCGGCTTGGGTCACGCCGTTGAGCCCTCCTGGGAATCGCTTCCTTTCCCTGAGGATGCGGCTCGTACTTAATGTAGCTGTTGGAGCATTTGTTATAGTCCGCCAAATAGCAGCCTGGTCAAAGCACGAATGTCAGAGAGCAAGAGGTTCATCTTTCATCGAGACTTCAAGGCTGCTGCAGCTCAGAGAAGTAGTGGCGAAACATCTACTAGTAAACAGTTGGTCATGGCAAAACGTCGCACGCCAAGCGGCCCTCCACCAACCTCAGGCCACGGATCGTGTGATGCTGCTCGGGTCGTCTTTAAAGGGCCACGGTCTTCAGGCATTGGGCAGCCACCCTTTGTTTGCCAGCTGTCGCATGAATCTTTCTCAACCCCTGAACCCAAAAGCACGTAAACTTGCTGTGCTGGGCGCCCCACTCGCCCGTACATGTCGGGGGCTGGCACTCGCCGTCCACGAGCTGGCAAGAGCGGACATGGTGAGCCAGTCAAAAAAAAAGCGCAGCACCTTTGTGCCAGCATCTTAGATTGGATTTACAAGCAATACACAGTGGCTTTATGTTACATGGGTCAAAGGCCGTCTGCAGCTGCTCTGGCGGCAGCGACGGTACGGTAGTGGCAGAAAGAGGCGGGATGGGTTGGGTTGGTCATGGTTGCGGGACGGTAGTGCGGTATAGTGGGGTGGGGCGGGGTGATGCTGACAGGATAGCGCGCTGGTTGCAAAGTTGCCGTGAAGCATGCAGCTGGCTCTAAGGTCGCCGCTGACAAAAAATTAACACTAAGCGAAGACATTTCCAGTCAGAACCGACTGTCCCTGATTGTTTGAGGCAGCCTCCCTTGAAAGAGGGCCTGGTGCTTTTGGGGGCTGCGGGCAGTCTCTGTTTGTAAGCATGGGGCAGTGGCCCTGACACTCAGGCTGAAACTGAAACGACATGTGAAATCCAGCACCGTGAGGCTTGGGAAGACCGACTTCGCATGACTTTTCCGAAGCCCTGCACCTGGTATCCGTCTGGACAATCGGTTTTGCTGCAGCCTGAGCACGAAGCAAGGCATGACTGGCTCCAGAGCACATCCTCTGAAACAGGACCCAGCCGCACAAAGAAGCCGGCTAAATCAACAGTGCGCACAGAAGGAACATGATAGAACAGACAGAACCGTGAGAAGTGGCAAAAGGTCACCAGCTGCACATACTACCCGATTCTTATCCTTTGCGATGGTCAGGAGGCCTTTTTTAAGTTGTGTAGCTTCCTTGTTTTATTGCCTGTGCAGAACCTTTGTACACGCGTCGTTCAGGTGTACCTGACACATGAACATGCTGCAACATGCTCTGCGGCGGCAGAGCTTCCATGGCGACAGTGTCTAAGCCATGCTATCCTGAGGCAAAGGCAAACATCTGCAGCTGTCTCGCCGGCAAAAAGCACCTGCGCAAATCTCAGTCTGAGACGCAACAGGCCATCGAACCACGATGCAAATCGCGCACTAGCTGCTCGTTTTTGCAACAGCGCTGCACAGCCACGAATCTGAACCTCAGCAACCAGAGGCATGGCAGGCTTGTGCAGCGTACTAGTCGCAGCTGTTCTTGCCGTTCGAAAGGTCGAAGCTGCAGCACATTATGGACACGAAGTAGCCTCCAGATTCCGAGCAAGTCATGCCCGCAAAGTTCCGGCCCATGGGACAAGCAGAATGTGACGTTGGTACATTGCCGCATGCGAGAGTTGCCACAGTCATGTCGAGCTTGCATTGGCCCGGCTTCTTGATACCAAACATGCCCCTGCGCGGTTTGCACGTGATGGATCCGCCGAAGCCAGCACCGGCCCACCAAACATCCGTATTGCTGCCGACACTGAATCCAGCTCCCAGCGAGATCTGATCAAGTGGCAGTTTGCCATTTAGCAACTCCTGGAAAACGTTTTCTGGACCAGCAGACAAACCAATAGACCAAGCGACATTGCCGTTAATGGACCGCGTGTAACCCGTGGATGCGAAAGTGCCAGCCTGGCCTGCGCAACTGAGAGCACTCTCCACCTTCAGATCAGGACAAGCGGAACAGCAGCACGAGATGCAACCTACAAGTACCAGTAAAGTCAACCTGCTTCAAGCCGCAAGCCTGCTAAATTAGTCGTGTCGCCGCTTTCACCACGTCCTCCACCACTTTCTCCGCCTCTTTCGCCACATCCTTCACAACCTTCACGACCGCTTCGAAAACGCGACGGCGTCTGCGGCGGTCGCGACGTCGATCCCAAAACACCACCTTGCCTGGTGGCGACCACTCGTACCCGGAAACCACTATAGTCACTATAGGCAGTGTTAGCCATACCATACACTACCATGCCATAACTAAACTTAACTAAAGCGAAGAAAGCACAATAGCTCGCATGCCTGTGTGAGTGTTGCAAGGTGGCCTTCGTCTCCTTCTGCTTCTTCCTCAGCCTCTTCTAGCAAAGAGAGTGGCTTGTCATCGTTCTCGTCCGGCACCGCTGGCTCTTCGGAACCAAAACGGTGCGCCTGCTCTTGTCAGTACTCACTGCGGATGTATATCTCACAAAGGAGATTCCTGCTTGGAGTTGCATGCGCATTAGCTTTGGGCGGAATTTGAATGCACAACAACTTCAAATCACTCCCCAGATAAGTCGGATACCCACATGGAAGAGCGGATGCACATGAGTTCGAATCAGCTTACCGGGACCACCACACGGCCTCCCTGGACTTCTTGATGTCGTCCAACTTGTGTAGGTCCACCAAAAGCTTGGCCCGCTCGTAGGGCAAAGACTTCACCTTCAGAAACATATGAAACACTAGTGTAAACGCTGTGGGGGAGCTCACGCTGACGAAACTCCCTGGAAACTCCGTTTTTGCGAACCCAGTCACGACAGGGCTGGCAAATGCTAGCATGGCAGCCCGGGCACCGTCGTGGTAGCCATAGAAGTGTTGATGAGATAAGTGCTGCTCCTGTCAAGGCCGCGGAAGATGGAACTACCCAAACCCCGAACTTGAGGACCCAGGCTCCTTGCCGTACCGAGCATACTTTTCAATGAAGCTGTAGTCTTGAGTGTCGGCCATGAACCTGAGCCATTCATTGCAAGCCTCACTGCTTCTTTCATCAACGAGTTGTCAAAAACCCAGTGCATGGGAAGCTCATCATCTGTCGTACGTATAATTGTGCGACAGCCGAAGGACCATGAATTCCTTTACTAAATCTTGCTAGGGATCTTATGGATTTCAATTTATTCACCTCCGGTTCCGGCTTATAAACACACCCCAACCACCACCACCACCACCACGACCACCACCACGACTACGACTACGACCACCACCGCCGCCACCACCACCACCACCACCACCGCCACCACAACCAACAACCGACAACCGATATTTAACCACGAACAACTACAAATAACAACTAACAAGCACCAGCAACAGCAACAGCAACAGCAGCAGCAGCAGCAGCAGCAACAACACCAGCACAAGCACCAGCACCAGCACCAGCACCAGCAATTTGCAATTGGACGCGGTGCGAGCGGACTCTGCACGTAGCGGGCATGGCATTTGCCTGTGCTAGTTCAAGACAGCGGTATCTACACTAGATCCTTGATGGCGCTGACCTACTCGGATTAGCTAGTGGCGGGCGCTCAGGAAGTGGCTTGTACCTCACGGCAGCGTTGTTGCTGGCGTCTTGCAAGGTTTGCGGTTTGTCTGCGACTGGCAACTGCGGCTGCGTCTCCCAGACTTGTCGCTTTGAGCAGGCAGCTCAGTGTGGCTAGAAAGCTTGGCCGAGCCACCTGCGCAAGAATGAAAGAAAACTAGCGGCTTGGCCCGAGGCCCCTGGCTTCCTACCGTGTTTGGTCCTGCCAACGCCAGGAGCTAGACAACGAAGAGGCCCAGTCAGAGGATTGCCACCATGGGCGATCATCCCATTGACGTCTTGAGCGAGTGGCATCGTCCTTCTGGCGCTTGTCTGATACAGGCCCCGGGTCCTCAGATTGCCGCTTGTCCGGGCGGAGCCACTTCTGCTTGGCCGGCGTATCCCCCACCTTATGGTCGATGCGGAGCTTGCCGACTTTTTTGCCATCCTTGGGCATGTAAAAGATCATCCGGTTGATCAAGCCGCATGAGCGGCAAGTCTGGTCGTAGATTGTTTTAATGGTGGATGCCACGATCTCAAAATTATCGTCTGTCTCCAGAGTGGCACGCATCTCCGCCTGGTCCCATAAGCGTTGAAATAGAGATCCAATGATCCCAAAGAAGCCCGTGAGGAGGGGAAGAATGCGGCATTTTTCTCCTTCACCCAAGGCAATAGTGAGCAAGCCGTCAGTTCCCATGACTGGCTGGGCCGTCATTGCCTCCGCCCATGTAGTGCCCTGATCCGTTGCCACCAGGTTCAGGGGGGCGAAGATCCAGGCTTCTTGAGTATGCGTATCCGGTCCTGCCACATTCGAAGCTGCTCGGAACCTTTGAGCCCGCCGCTGAAAGCTTTCTCGTTGATGATGAGAATAGTAGCCAGGGCATGCACCCAGGTGAACATCTCGTCGGACTGGCAGATTTGGACGTTCTTGTCACGCTTGGGCAAGGCGTTTTCTTGGTCCTTCAGAGAGGGGCGGGGCTCCGGGTCAACCATGGCGTAGATCGTGACTGGGCTCTGGTACTTGACCCGGGTCATGGTGTCCTCTTCAATCGTTGGCTGTTTCCTCTGAGGACGGGCCAGGACACTCGTCCGAGCTTGGAGCGTGGCTGGCGATCTTCTCCTTGATCCGCGAAGGCATTGAAACGTGATTTGGGGTAGTTGGGGGGGGGGGGGCCGGCTGGGGAGGCCGGAGAGGTGGGAGCCGAGCTCGGCGAAGCCTCTTGTCAGGGGGGCCGGGCAGGGGGAGGGGGAGCGTCCTCCACTGGCGTGGGAGGAGCTGAGGCCGCGGGTCGAACGATGCTCATTCGCAAGTATCAGCGCCCCTTTTCATCCCTAAAAGACCCGGAGAGGGATCGATGCGCAAGATATTTGTTGAGCCTTTTTTCAGAGCCGGTGCCTCCTAATTCAATTGGCAGATCTGAGTTTTTCGGCTTCATTGATTGCATTTTGCAATCAAGATTAAACTATGAACGGCACCTCACGGAAGGAGCAACCTGGTTCCAACAACTGGAGGAAAATGTGGTAGGCTATAGATTTCGCTGCGAGGGTTTTCCTGGACCCCCTCTTGCTGCCCAAAATTGGCACCTGTGGGCCCATGCCACCACCAGAGAAGGAGCCACAGGCATTTTGGCCACGGGCAAAGTCCTGCCCACAGACCATGCAGTTGCATGTCTGGATCCTGAGGAGGACACTTATTCCTTTTACGGGCGGAGTACTCCCAATCCTGAATGGAACCAGGGAGTTATACAGCTTGCCAGCAAATGTTTTCACTCCACAAAGAATTGCTCTGGAGTGGTTTTCGGTGGACTCTTGCCGTCGGGCCATGTCAAAGGAAAGAGTGCATCTGTCAGTAATGAAAATAACCTGGCAACGTTTCATGCACTTGTGCATAGCTGCTCCTCAGATCGCCGCTGGGCGATACGATTTGTAGCCGCCCGCATCGATTTCATTTTTGTTCTTTCTGAGCGGGCCAACGCAATTTTTCCTCAGCAAGCAGGCCAACCAGCAGGAAGAGGGCGCAAAGCCATTCAAGGCCAGCCCACCCTTGCTATTACAGATGGGTCAACAGCAGATGACTCATGGGGCCCATGGCATTCGTTTCGTTAGTCTTTTCGTGATCACGATGTACATAGCAAAGCCAAAGAGGAAATCCCTGCGGAATTGCCAACACCAGGAGCACCTGAAACAGCTCAAGCTGTCACGCCAGAGGCTTCCGATTTAGAGGACCTCATGGCCTCTGCCAAAGCTTTTCGTGGGGATAGTGCATGATTGGCTTTACACAGCATTGCACAGCGTTCAACAAAACACCTGAATGGTTTTGCTGTTTTTGTTTTTGTTGCTGTTTAGCTTCATGTCTTGATGCTATGCCGTAGGTATTCGTCCAAATATTTCGTCAGCCTTTCATTTCAAAGTTATCCAGCCATGCGGCGCAAAGCGGATGATGCCTTTCTTCCTCATAGTGGGGATCAGCTACCCGAAAATCCGCGATCGAGCAAGACCGCCCCACAACCATCAAGGACCAGAGTAGTAATGGTCCACAACCTTCCCATTGAAGGATGTGAAGATGGTGTTACTTCAATTCAGTTTGAAATACCAGCCGATGGCATCATAGACGACATCAAGAAGAACATTAGTGAGAGGCTCACCAATGAAAGATTGTATTTGTCTCGTAGAGTTTTCCATCTCCAACTCCGAGGTGTACATCGGCCTTTTTTCAAACAGCTGAAAAGCTTGGAACAATCCGCGGAGTTTACCTTTCAATGGTCGGAGCGAAGTATGCTGGGTCATAAAAGAAGCCA